TATATATATAGCTAAGAACTTGTCATAGGTTTGCATTGTCTAATATATTTTGTATTTCTTTATATAATACAAATTGTATAATATAGATGCTTCTGATCTTCCAATCAAGTTGGTACAATCATATTACAGGTGTTTAACTTTATATGACAAAAGTGATTATCAGAATACAAATATATTTTCTAAATTTCATTATAGATAAGATTCAAACTTTAGATCTGCTACTTGAAAAGTGATAATTTAATTACTAACCTAAGTTGTCACACTCTAGCTATTATTTTTATAATATATTAAATAATTGTAAAATATTAAATATTGAATATTTATATCTACTAAATACTTATTTGTATTAACAAAAATTTTTAACTTTCTATTACAAGAATATTGTTTAATTGCATATTTTGCTTTACTTATTCTTTTTATTAATTTATTATCAAAATTTATATATATACAATTATTTTTTGTATATAACTAAAATGTTGAGACTTTTAAATTTGCTACTTATAATTACACAAATTGAAAAAAATGAATATAACAAAAACTTATCGAGATAAATCATCCTTACAAAGAAATACTGAAACGGTTTAAAAAACCAGTAAGTTATATAATATTTTTTGTAATTGAATATACAGTATACTAACTAATGAATTTAAGGCAAAGGCAAACGTTTTAATGAAACTTTCATCTATCAAAAGTCTTCTAAAAAAACTGAATTGCAAGTAAATTCATTAATTAAAGAACAAGAGAAGCTTTTAAAATTGAGCATGAAAAGCTTGCGATTCGGAAGGATAAAAATAAGATAAATTATGTTGCGAAAGAACTTGAATTGTCGTTATTATTTTTTTAATCAACATAGCAAATACGAAGTAAAGTATGCCTAAATTAATTACACATTTAAAGTGAACTTTTTTTAATTTATTAATTTATCGTTATATTTATCTACGTAATAAATTAAAATTATTTATCATTGTTGTTACATAGTAAACTACCGTTTACAGTATCCCCTAAAAATAGTATTCCTACCACATAAAGTACCCCTTCTATTCAACTTTAAAAATGAAGTTCTTGAATAAGACCCTGGGTGCTGTAGTCAGTGGCAAATAGTATAATTTAAATGGGTGCCGCTGAGGGAAAACTTACCACCAGGATTTCAAATTTATAATTTTACCGATCACAATCCCCAACAATTAGATAAATTGAGTCCCGTTTTCCCTCAATTGCTTTCGGCAACGATATTAACTTACCGTGCTGTATTGCCTTTCTTATTTTGGTTTATTTTTTTTATTCAATACAGTACAGTACGCATTTATATTTATATAATATAAAAAGATGGGAATACTTTACAGGAATACTGTACATTTGAGTACTGTACAGTATGTTCAAAATCAAAATAAAGTACGAAACTTCTACATCCTGGTGTTTATAAGGCACAAAAATGTAATTTAATTACAATGCAAAATTTTTAATGATTATAAATAAATAATTTTAATTATAAAAATACGCAGATGTTTTTGAACCTTTAAAAATATACAAGATTCAAAAAAACCGTCAATATAAGCCAGTTTCTTAACGTTAATTTAAATAATACATATTTTTTATGTTCGTAACAATCTTAGATTCATAATAAATTATTTAACAAATCTGATAAAAACCAGATAATATCTTTATAAGAGATGATACGACTGTTATTGTTATTAAAATAAGCATAGAATGTGAATCAAATAAATTTCAAGTGCAATACTTTTCTTGAAAGATTTTGAAGATATCCAAATAAAAAAAATACAATGTGAAGATGATGGTTATTTGGTAAATTTCTGAAATTACTTTTGAGAAAAAGATGCCTTGGTAATTTCTATCGAAGTTATTAATTTCTCGTAATTATGTCAAGTTCAGTAATAATACATTAAAGGGTTTCAAAGTTAAAGTTCGAAAATTTTATTTTAATAAAATAAGATGATGTATTTATTATCAAATAGATATCTTTATTTTTTAATTAAGATCTGAATACACTTGTTTATGCGATCTTCCTTATTCTAAATTATTTATTGTTAATCGATACTGTATTATTTCTATGCTTAACATGCCTAAAATTTTACATCGACGTCAAATTAAGCATATCAATAATCTTTAAAAAACACTTATGAATAAATACTCAACTAGTTCGAATAAAACTATTACTAAAGTTTCAGATAAAGAAATTGTTGAATTATTAGAATTAATACATGCTATAGAACTGAATCGATATTTAACTTTATGTGAAAGGACAATTAAACCTAATAGTTTTTCAAGTTCTTTTGTTTAATTACAATGATTATAAATTATTAGAGTTAATAAAGAGACATTCTGGTATATAGAAAGTTTAATTCATAATAACCCTGTTTTTTAAAAAATTCTAAATATTTACAAAAACCAATTTGACAACAATTGGCTGCAACTTTAGAATATTTAAGTTACAATAAAAATGATGTTTTTATAGATAATTTGTTAGATAGTAGGGTTTAAAAATTGGCATTGTGACTAAGTATACAAAATATTTAGTAATAGCTATTAATTCAATTGGAAGTACTTATATATAATTGCCTAATTCTATTAAGTAATATCAAATGGTAGTAAAATAGAACAATTATTTGAATTTATAAGTTGTATTAGATTTTTAAATAGAAATAATATTGTATTTAAATACAAACTAGAGGCCTGTATTAGGACTTATATATCAGGAAAATTTTTTTGGCACAGATCTGTGATAACCTGTGAAAGTGCAGATTATTGCAGATTTTTTAACACAGATCTGTGCAGATATTCAAAAATGCAGATTATTACAGATTTTTTAATAAAATTCTGTATAAATATTCTTATTACAGAATTTTTATGATATCTCATGATCCAATGATCAGAACTCAACAATTTTGGTACCATTCGATTCGTCTCAATGAGATAAATCGAATGGTACCAAAATTGTTGAGTTTTGATTATTGGAACACGAGATAGTTATATTTAGGTAAATTTTGAAAACACTAACATATCTCGCCAACCAGTAGTCCAAATTTAATGAATTTGGTGTCATTAGATTCCTCTCGATGAGATGGTACCAAAAACGCTAAAATGAATCACTGGTTGGCGAGATATTTGCAAAAAACCTGTTGCGGCGCAGTTCAAATTTTAAAGTTCTGTACAGAACTGCGCCGCAAAAGGTTTTTTTGCAAATATCTCGCTAACTAGTGATTCAATTTTAGCGTTTTTGGTACCATTCGAATCGTCTCATCGAGAGGAATCAAATGACACCAAATTCATTAAATTTAGACTACTGGTTGGCGAGATATGTTAGAGTTTTCAAAATTTACCTAAATATAACTATCTCGTGTTCCAATGATCAAAACTCAACAATTTTGGTACCATTCGATTTGTCTCATTGAGATGAATCGAATGGTACCAAAATTGTTGAGTTCTGATCATTGGATCATGAGATATCATAAAAATTCTGTAATAAGAATATTTATACAGAATTTTATTAAAAAATCTGTAATAATCTGCATTTTTGAATATCTGCACAGATCTGTGTTAAAAAATCTGCAATAATCTGCACTTTCACAGGTTATCACAGATCTGTGCCAAAAAAATTTTCCTAATGTAGCTCAGCTTGGCTCAAACTAATCTGCAAAATTTTGCAAACCAGGCCAGATTTAACAATTAAATCTTGCAAATATAGGCTAGCTGAGGTAAAAATTTATATATTTATATATTAAAATATACAATATATAAAGAGGGCTAGTATTTGTACTCTTCACATTTGGTATTGATACCCCAGTAAAAATAAAATTTTTTAAAATTTTAAGCGAAGATATCTGAACAACCACCTAATCAAATTTAATAAAATTTTTTATTAGATTTTATAAATCTATAGAATTCAAATAAAAAAGTTGGATTGAATTTGATCAGATAGTTGTCAAGGTATCTTCGCTTAAAGTTAGAGAAAAATCAAAATACCTATAATCCATTTTGACGCATCTCGTTAGGCATATAAATATAATATATCTTAACCTAGAGATATTGATTAAAATCAGTATTCAAAATTTGGGATATTTTATTAATGCGCAGTAATAATAATATGTTTGAATTTGTCAAAATTAGTAAATAAAATTAATCAGAATTAAAATTTATTAACATAAATAAAATTATATTAAATCTAAAAAACAATTATAATTTGTCATATTGAAAGTTCATTATCTGTCTGAAAAAAATCTTTAAAATGCTGCAAGAACAAATAAGACTTTAGATACATGAGAAATAATAAAACTACAGAACTAGAACTAGTAATTTATAGAAAAATGAAATGCATTCTTCACTATATAAGTAATTCACAAACTGAATAACTGTATGCTTCATCATTGTATAAAGCAAAAATACCAATCCCAATTTAGCCTCTTGAACATTTATAATAAATTACTTTGTTACAGGCTACAACAAATTCTGTAATTAAGAACTTGCTAAGTACCTCATTAAAGTTTGTATGAACTCTTTTTTTAATTGATTATAAATAAAGACAACAAATTGATAACAAAGATAAAAAGGCTAAATTTGAGATTTTATTAAAACAACCCACAATCTAAAATTTAAGTAGCATAAGGCATCCGACTATAAAATATCGTCGTTTTGCTAGTTTTACTTTTATATTCACATCTACCCTTTTTCACATTTATCGTTGAGTATACAGTATATTGATTAATAAAAGTTTTCATAATGGTACTAGTGGCGCTTTAAATGCGCATCCGACACGTTCTGATAATATTTGTAACATATCTTAGATATCAGCTTCTGTAAAGAAATTTATGCTGGAATCAATTGTAGGTCTACATAAATCCTCTTGCCAAAAAGGTAAATTACTTTAATACAGTACGTAGTTAATTTAATGATATATTGCAACGTAGGACGGTGACTTACGTTGTGTCACGTAATATCGATATAATGTAGTACGTGAGAAAACATTGTACGTATCAATCGATGTTATGTCTTCTTGTGATCACTGTAAAAAACGTTTTATAGGATACCCGGAAACGTTCTGTAGAAGAAAATTTAGACCTCAGCAAGAATGTGAAAACCCGGCCATTCGGGAATTTCTTCAAGATATCCAAGAAAACTCAGCATTTTGTAATAATTTTATCGATTGGGTCCCAGATTCTGATGTAAATTATGAAAAGTCACATAGAAGGAATGAATTTTCAGAGATATTTCTGGGAAAATGGATGCCACTATCGAGTCTAAATATTGTTCTTAAAGTTTTAAGAGATTCACGAAATATTGACCATAAGTTTCTTAATGAGGTAATGAAATCTTTTGCCTAACATATATATTATTTAAATGTCCAATTATTAACATTATTTATACTCGTAGTTCAGAATACATCATCAATGCCTTGGAAAATGTGCTATACCTTTTTATGGGTTAACATTATATAAGAAAACTCTGGATTATGCAATGATAATGAAGCGTGCTGTTCATGGTGATTTATGCAACTATATTCATACTCATAAATTTAAACTCTCATGGACAGAAAGAATAAAAATACTTGTCAATATTACAGAGGATTTAGAGCATCTTCATAATCTAAATTTGGTTCATCATGATTTTCACTGTAAAAATATTCTTGTTGATGAAGAAGATAAAATATTTATTTGTGATTTTGGGCTCTCTTGTGCTATAAATTCACAAACAGGTAGCTTTTATGTTTTCTACTAAGCATTTATTTTCGATAAAGCGGGTATTGAATAAAGAAGACAATCTATAACGAAATCCGCTCGATATAACAGATTTCTGAGTTGATCTGTCATGTCAGGCGTCACTGTATATGTACAATATGATTTACTACTTATAATATTTAACCTCCATTGTTTGTCACTTTGTCAGATACGGGAGAAATTGTAGGTGTTTTGCCTTATATTGCACCTGAAGTTCTCCGTGGTAAACAATACACAAAAAAATCAGACATTTATAGTTTAGGTATAATCATGTGGGAATTGACTTCTTTCACTCGCCCGTTTAATAAGGAAGTTCATGACGTTAATTTGGCTCTTAAGATTGTAATGGGCGGTCGTCCTGAAATCACTAATGATACCCCAGAACCTTATAAAGTTGTAATGGAAAAATGCTGGGATAATGATCCATTAAAAAGGCCAGAAACATCAGAATTATTACAGATATTTAGCGATATGCCAAATGATTTGCGACAGAATATAGAAACTATTCAAAGTTTTAGATCCAATGACGAACAAGGTAAATATTTATTTTTTGTCAAAATTTGAAATTAAAATGATTATAAGCAATTTATTTCTTTTCAGATACTCCCGTTGCTGATAATCCAACAAGCATAAATATGGGTAATTACATTCTATTAATGTTTATCTATGATTGCATATTTTAAGATTTTCAGATTTGATTGTTATATTATAGACTATCAAACAAGACAGTTTGATATTGACATAAGGCTAGACAGTGATTCTGACATGTATGAACAGGAATCAGTACGAAATAATGGTAAGCAGTTTTATAAATTCATGTCAATAATTATTGCTAAATTTTTAATATATTTTACTTGTTAAGTTTTTACCATTTTTTGTTAAATGCTAGAATATAATGTTTGGCAATCATTAGAATCCTTATCAGACGATTTCTTTAACTTGCCAACTAGATCATTTTTGGTAGAATCTTTAATACATTTATCCTTATCTTCGTCATCTGGTAATCAAATGTTTGGAATCCATATTGGCACGAAAGATATAATTAATTGCTTAATTCCAAAATTATTAAATTTTTAGATGACATGCCAACTATATGTGATCAAGTACCATCTCTTTTGGATCTATCTAACCTTTTTGCTGTGATAAGCGATATTTCTAATCCAGATGTGCAAAATGAACTTTCAGAGAAATGAATATTATAGAAGGCAACTATATTGGTATTTAAAAATGTGCAGTCGAAACTCGATTAACAATAAAAATACAATCGCAAATTATATGGTCAATGACCACTAATAGTTACGTTGATCTTAATATGCAATCACCAAGAATATATTTTTAAATGATAATTATGCATAAATATCAGTACTACTTCAAAAAAATTTTTTACAGAATAAATTAATAAGTAATTTTACCTATAAATCAGTTTCATTGATTTTTATTTGTTACGTCTAAAATATACCAACACTTCACATATGTATTTTACGAAAGATCTCAATTTAGCACGCCTAAATAACTACTTTTTATGTTGAAAGTTTGAACTTGAGAAAAATCACGCGGAAGTAGCAAAATAAATGCCATTTTCAAAGGTACGAATTTTCATAGGAAAAAATTCGATCTTTTTATTCTTCATGCAGTAGGATTCGTTGAAACTTCAACAGCTTTGTTTTAAGGAATGCAGCGTATTTTGACTAATGCCTTGAACAATAAACTCAAATGTGAATTCGTCGATTTGTATCGATATAACTATGAAAAATGATACTGTAAATTTAAGGAAATAAGTCGTATAACTAATTAGTACGATCAGGGCATCAAAATTAGTGTATTGTGTGTACGTACAGTTGCCTCACAAAGTATAACACGGTTACACAAAAACATAACAATATTTATGCAAAAAAGCATACGTAAAAATTTATGCAAAAAAGCATACGTAAAAATTTATGCAAAAAAGCATACGTAAGAATTTATGCAAAAAAACATACGTAATAATTTATGCCGTATAATCATTATGTATTAATATTGTAATCTTATATATATTAATTTGCACAATATAATTACCGTCGTCGAAAAGCATTGCACGCATGTTTCATATTTGGAATCATCCGGTCTGATATACCGGAGTTGAGTTTTATTTGAAGAGTGCATTTTGCATTAGTCATGATTTAAGCAACAATAAAAACTGAAACGGGAGATGCTCCCGGAAATAGCAAGTAATATTGCGCCGGGGATCACCGTAAGCAGTTGAATTTTTACTTTTAGTCTGCGCGGCTTGGGCTGGCCGGTGGTTTCCCACCTGCATAACGCAGGCCGGCCGTCAAAGATGAACATGTGACATTTGCCATTCAGCAGCTATAATATGAAAATGGCAGGTTCTCTGGGAGGGAGGGGCGGGTCGCAAATTGAAGACAGCCAGATCGATTGTTAGCGTGGGAGTGAGATTGTGCTTCCCCTAACACCCTTATTCATACAATGTCCAACATTGCGTCAGTATTACTGTATGCGGAAACTCATTAAATATCGCATTCGCCTGTAAACCTGATTGTACCGAATCGGTTCTGCCCCTCGCCATTTTCATGGGCACGAAGCGCCTGCTTAGCATCTTTTCGATCCGTTGACTCTGTCAACTCGAATGATTTGCATAAATTTTTGTTTTTTTTGTTATGTTTTTGTGTAACCGTGTTATACTTTGTGAGGCAACTGTACGTACGTACGTACGTTGTGATGGGCTCTGCGGCGATGGTTCCACAATATATATTTTTTTAGGACAGTTATATTCATAACACCGTGTTATATAACATCCTTATGCTATATCTCAGAAACGTACTAAGTAAATGGGTGTAGGTACTCTAAGTAAAAATGTTTAGCGCCCTTGAAAACCTCATGAAAACTGAAATTAGGACCTATTGGAACCTTATGTCTAATATATATTGTATAATAAAAATTCCCTATTTATCTTAAAACTGGACCCTAACCCTAAGGGACGTGACAAAAATCAGGTGATTTTTTAGAGGGGGAGGGGGTAAAAAAAGTTAAAATTATATATAAGAATCTGATTTTTTTTTTTATATTAGGAGGGGGTAAGCCTCTGATAAAAAATAATCAGGTGATAAATGACACTGCCTTAAGTAAAACATAAGGGTGTTATATTAACATGGTGTTATGAATATAATATTTCATTTTTTTATTATAGTTATTCTGTTCTATTTTATTTTTATTTTATTATTAGTTATATAGTACAGTATATATTATCGCTTCTGGCTGTGAATTGTTTTCCTTTCTTAGAAAAATCTAGTTAGTATATTTGTTCAATAACTTTTCTAAAAAGTAGTAGGCAAAAATAGATCGTTATCTTAGATAGAAATAATGTTCATTATGGTCAACATGTTTGACATAGCGCATATAGTCAACATAGTATATATAGCACACATAGTCGACATAGTCGATATAGTTAACATAGCGAACATGTCAGACATAGTGAATATGTTAGCTATAGTTGTTATGTACATAAGTATGTAAAAGATATATAAGACTTACCTTTTTGCTTGAATAAAGATTAACTTTCCAAAGTTCAATTAAGGCTGTTCGAAGTTGATTCTTTGGTTAACATCACCTTTTCCCCTTTTGGTTGAAGTCTTCCCTGAAAAATAAACAACCAATCAAAACACTGGATACCTCTCGTCGATCACTTGATTTATATCGACCAATAAAATTGGCCCATATTTGTTTATTTTTATATATTTCATCTTACCGTTAACTGAAAAATCAACTTCTAATGGCCTAAGTCTATTCGCAATTAATTTTCAGTTAATATCACCTTCCCCTCTCCCTTCGATGGTCTCCCAGTAAAATAAAATATAAAAAAAATATAAAAATAATAGAGGCGGCTGATATTATTCGTACCTTTATAGATTAAATTTTTTTCAACTTTGAGCAAAGATATCTCGACAACCACCAAGACAAATTTGATGATTTTTTTTTATTTGAATTCTACAGCTTTGTAGAATTAAAATAAAAAAAAACTCATCGATTTTGACTTGGTGGTTGTTGAGATATCTTCACTCAAAGTTAAAGAAAAATTTTGGCACAGCTTTTATTTTGATAGATGTTTTGAGTTTTTTAGAACTTTGAATGATGATATCTCAACAATCACCAAGCCAAATTTGATGCCTTTTTTTATTTGAATTCTACAAAGCTATAGAATTCAAATAAAAAAAAAAATCATCAAATTTGGCTTGATGGTTGTCGAGATATCTTTGCTAAAAGTTTTAAAAAATTCAAGCTGTGCCAAAATTTTTCTTTAACTTTGAGCAAAGATATCTCGACAACTACCAAGCTAAAATCAATGAATTTTTTTTTATTTTAATTCTACAAAGCTGTAGAATTCAAATAAAAAAAAACTCATCAAATTTGGCTTGTGTGGTTGTCAAGATATCATTGCTCAAAGTTAAAGAAAAATTTTGGTGCAGCTTTTATTTTGATAGACATTTTGAGTTTTTTAAAACTTTGAGCAAAGATATCTCAACTAAAGATTGGACCCATTGAGAAAATCTTTACCCGGGTATTATTAAATTACCTGGGTTATCCGGGTAAGTTATTATATATTTCAGGTAATCATATAGTAACAATTTCTACCCGGGTCCAATCCTTAATCTCAACAACCATCAAGCCAAATTTGATAAATTTTTTTTTGTTTGAATTCTACAAGGTTGTAGAATTCAAATAAAAAAAATTCATCGATTTTGGCTTGGTAGTTGTTGAGATATCTTCGCTCAAAGTTTTAAAAACTCAAAATGTCTATCAAAATAAAAGCTGTGCCAAAATTTTTCTTTAACTTTGAGTAAAGATATCTCGACAACTACCAAGCTAAAATCGATAGATTTGTTTTTATTTTAATTCTACAAAGCTGTAGAATTCAAATAAAAAAAATTCATCAAATTTGTCTTAGTGGCAGTTGGGTACGAATAACAAAATTGGAGGTATGAATATCAGCCGTCTAAATAAAATAAAAAAATAAAAAATCATAAAATAATTAGGCTATTCAAAAGCAAAAAACAATCTAAATGCTAGATAGCTCCCCTAATTGTATAAGCAAAATAAAATTCGAAATGCTAGCCTAATCGTATAAGCAAAAATAACTCTGATATTTTCGAAAAGTTATTATTTATAGATGGGTGACAAAAATATTTTCACACCTAAAAACTTGGCTTATAACTCAAAACTTACTAATTAACTTATGTCCTTGACTTGACTATATGAAACCTTATCTCTTGATAATTATATCATATCATTTTTAGATCATATACTTGCATAATTAGCAAGTAATTTAACATTATTTTTAGGGTTTTGATAAATTTAGTAAGTGTTTATGTTTCTGTGCAAATATTTCAACAACTATCAATCTAATTTTAATGATAGTT